GTGATGCACATCCACAGAAGACAGTTAGCAAAAGTAAGAGCTTTTGCTTGTGCTACCTAATCCTCAGGCCTGTGCTGGAGAGAGTACGTATCATCTGCTCACGGCCGGGCATTCATTTTCTTGCTAGGACATAGGAAATCAGTTTGGGAAGTATTTGAGGCATAGAGCCACTGTAATATGTCTCTGCTGAAATTAAAAACCTGCAGCTGGCCTGTGCTCAAGCAGGGAGTAGCTGGAATCTTGCTTTTGCCCCACTGCAGGCACACTAGAGCTGTTGGGGAGGGAATAGAAATTTGTTGCTGATGCGGTGTAGGCCAGTGGCGAGCTGCAATCCCCCACAACAAAACAGGGAGGAAATTATGCTTCTCTGAGGCACGACTCCTTTCCTGCAATACTCCTGAGGTGTACCATTATTTCTAATTATAGATCCTAATTCGAACTACCTACTCCGTGCCGCGTACAGCCGCGGGCACGGAGTTCGGACTAAGGAGGATTTAAAAATGGCGGCGCCCGGGAAGATGCAAATGAAGCCCGGGATATTTAAATCCTGGGCTTCATTTGCAACTCCGGTTGCCCTCATTTGCCTACGTAGCTCGAACTACCGAGCTAGTGTAGACATACCCTGATAGTCCTAGCCTTCACAGCCTCCTCTGGCAAGGACTTCCACAGGCTGACTCCACGCTGTGTGGAGAAGAACTTTCTTTTATCAGTTTTAAACCTGCTACCCATTAACTTCATTTGGTGTTCTCTAGTTCTTCTATTATGGGAACTAATAAATAACTTTTCTTTATTCCCCCTCTCCACACCACGCATGATTTTATAGACCTCTATCATATCCGCCCTCAGTCTCCTCTTTTCTAAACTGAAAAGTCCCAGTCACTTTAACCTCTCTTCATATGGGAGGACTGGCAGCTCATCTCACCTCTCTGCTGCTGCACTGCTGGCCGCTTATCCCACCTCTTTCCTGTCACCCTGCTGGCTGCTCATCTCTCCTCTCTGCTGCTGCCCATCAGTCACCATCTGCTGCCATTCACCTTTCAGCTGTGACCGCTGCACATCAGTAATTTTCAGCTCTTTTGCAGGCTAGACAGAAACACTGCCCCCATCTCAGGTGATTTCAGCATTGGGGCAGAAGCACAGGCCTGCCACAAGTGATTTCAGCTCTGATGGAGCAATTTAAAAATAACAAAGGAGGCTCCTAATGAAACCCCCTTAGCTCGATTCTTTGAATAGTGGGGAGAAAGGACCAGCCAGATAGCAGATACTTGAGGGCATGCAGTCTGCTGGGTGGGAGTTCTGCGCCCCCCTCCCCCCCTTACTTTCACAGGGCTCTGACATTCAAAGCCCTTATCTTACTAAGGTTCTTTATTCAAAAAGTAACTCCTGCCTTTGGGGCTTCTTTTTTGAATTCCCACAATAATTACAAACAATGGTAACCATAATTCATGCTACGCCTCTATATTTTTATAGAAATATTTTTATGAATATGAATATGCATATGTGCTTTATGCAAAACAGGTCAAATAACCTATTATTCAAGAGCCTGAATATGATCCCATGAATATGTATATTCCATTTGCGTGCATGTATCATTCTTGTATGTGAAGTTAGAAATATGAAGTGTAAACCTATTCATTAATCTAGAATTTCTAGTGAGAGCCATTAGTGGTACTTAAGGAACTTAATGGCCTGGTGCTCAAGGCAACAAATGGTACATGGCTTTGTTTTTCATGTTAAGTCCAAACTGTGGTTAGTTCTACAAAGACGTGACCAAATCCAGTTGTTGCTGGAATCGATCTTGAATTTGGTATTTTTCCATGGGGATGGGGACATTGGAACAGAGGATTCCTGCCCTGGGGAAATTCTATTTAAGGGGTGGGAAGCAATCAAGGATTGTCTTCAGCTGGCTTTTGGAAAACTACCTCCCCACCCTAAGAGGATACACAAGAAGCTTTTACACCCAGGCCAGAGAAAAAATCAGCTCTGACTTGAAGGATTTTATCTGGAATAAAGGTGAGAAATATGATCTGTAACAATCTCTCTTAGTGTATTGGATTAACTGGCGTGTTTTGTTTATTTTAGATTAGTAACTTTCTTTGATTTGTCTGTTTTCACTTGTAATCACTTAAAGCCTACTTTTTATACTTAATAAAACACTTTTGTTATGATCAAACCCAGTGTAAATAATTGTATCGAGGTGATGGGGGGGGGGCAAGGTACAGCTGTGCATATTTCTCGTTCACTGATAAAGAGAGTGCACTCTGTGAGCTTTTTCTGTGTAAAACTTTTATACAGAGTAAGGTGGCTTTATTTGGGAGGTTTTGGTCCCTTTTGAGGACTGTGCTTCCTATAGCTGAGCCTGATAACAACTGTTATCAGTGTTGGTGTTACTCTGTTGAGCGGCTGTTACCCCTACTCTGTGCCTTTGCAGGGGCAGACCAGAGCTTCTGGCCCAGCAGGACAGGGTGGTGCAGCAGATAGGGAGGGCTCCATGGTATGATCAGCACACTGGGTGACAGTCTCAAGGGCACCTCTGTGATCCAGCCCATCACACCCTGCATTTAGTAATACATAATTTGTGACCCACCACCAGCCAGGTTAATTACAATGAGCTCCATCAGCTGATTATCTAGCAAAGCAGGAACAACTATTTACTTAAACACACCCAGGGTCTTCCTTCCCATCCCAGCCTGCAGTCAGCAAAGCATTCACCCAGACCCTACTTACAGTAGTATTTTGCATTTGTCCACATTGATTTCATCCTATGCCTTTCAGACCATTTTTCCAGTTTGTCAAGACCCTGTGCTCTAACATGCTTGCAACCCCTCCCAGCTTGTTGTTATAATTTACCAAGATATTGGCTAAAATTATTGAAGTCATGTAAATTATACTTATAATTATAGCATTCATAATTAGCATATGCTTAATCCTCTCTCAGGCTATATCTACACAGCAGCGTTATTTCGGAATAACTGACGTTATTCTGAAATAACATAGTCCGCGTCTACACTACAAGCAGCTATTTCAACATAATGTCAAAATAATGTTGAGCTGGAAGACTTTTATTCTGACTCCTGTAACCCTCATTGTATGTTGAGTAAGGGAAGTCGGAGGAAGAGTGCTCTTTCTCAGACTTCCTGCTGTGTACACAGTGCCAAAAGCTGAAATAAGCTATTTCGGCTTTATCTATGCAATTGACGTAGCTTAAGTTGTGTTGCTTATTTCGGCTTTATCCCTGCTGTGAGGATGTGCCCTCAGTGTGGAGGGGTGGAATAGACGACCTTTTGAGGTCCCTTCCAGCCCAAGCCTCTTTGGAAGCACACTGATTAATCTGGAATAGAGTGACTTTTATACTCAAATAGAGGGCCTGTGTGGGGAGTTATTGCAAAATAGCTTCTTCCACAATAGTTATTCTGTCAACATCCCCATTAAGATAAGTCCTAAGGCCGTGTTCCAAATGTCACAGATGCCTGTTCTGATTCTGTATGTTGTCAGCCAGGAGGCATATCAATTTCTGTGGGGTATGTGATAGTGACGGCTGATAACTCTTCTGACTTGTTTGTTGCTCCCTTTTTGCACTTGTGAGGAAGGCGGCTAAGGGCCTGGTTCTTATTTCACTTAACCAATCCAGTGTGAAACCAATATTGGAAGGGCTCCATTTACTTCCATGGAATCACTCCCTGATTTACACAGGGGTAAGAGGGAGGAGAATCAGGCCCGTGTCTCTATTTATGCATCAGTCCTGTGAGTTTCATTTGGTAATTTAAGTCCCTGCCTGTTAATCAGGTGAAACGTATTTCCCCTGAACACTGGATCTCTTCAGCAGCCTCTAAGAGATGTCTCGTGGTCAGGGCTGGGATAAGAAAATTATTCAGTACCAATAATTCGATTGACTCTGGGCAAATGTAATTAGCTGGGCTTTGACATTGGAGTGTCTCTTGCCGTGCTGCTCGATGTTTTAGGAAATCGCCTCATGATGGAGTATTAATGAGAACATTCACAGAACCCAGTGAAACAGACTCCTCCCTGGAATGTGCTTTTCCAGCTGCTGTATATAACAAGGGACACCAGCCACTTTGCTGGTCTGCAGGGAGGTGTCCGTGGAATGGCTGCCACCATGAGTCATCGGGGTTTGCTTCTGCTGGTGCTACTGACTCTGGCTCTGAACATCTGTAAGTACAGTGGTGCCTTGTCTGTTGTCTTTATAGGTGATCGGAAAAAAACTTGTTTAGTGATTAGAGCAAAGGCTGGGGATTCCTCTTCCGTCCCCTCTGGGGAAGTGGTTCCACTCTGCATAAGTACTGACATGGCCATTGGGCCCGGGGAGGGTGAGAAGGACTGAGGCTGGTGGTGAGGGCACCCACTTGGGAGGTGCAAGGTCCAGTCCCCAGCCTTCAATTGCTCTTTCAATAGCATTGCTTCAGCAGGCAAGACTGAGAGTGCCTATCAGAATGGGCCACAGCTCAGGGGTTACAGCATGCTTTGGGCGGGGCGGGGGAAGCCCTTGTAAAAATCCCTCTTCCCCATCCAGCAGAGAGGGGACTGACCCTTGGTGTCCCATGTGCCCGTGAGTGCGCTAACTGCGGGGCTGCAAGTCACAGTCTGGGCTGCAGCACCTTGGCCTTTGGCTGTGTTTCTGTGGCGCGAGGCAGGCACCTAATTCACTCCCACAAGGGTGAGTGTGGGTGCCTAAGCCACCTGGCTGCAGAAGAGGGAATCCCCTTCCCGTACCGCAAGCTGCATATCTTTGCTTGTGATCCACAAAATGGGAAACCGCTCTCTGGAATCAGGCTGGTACATCTAAAGTGTTTCCTGCGACTGAGGCATCTGCCTTGCTCAGGAGGCCACAAGGAGGGTGGGTGTTTAGATGCATCCGTCGTTAGCATTTCCCATTGGCGGGCTTAGATGACCCCCGTGGAGCACACTGGCATTTATGGGTCACACTGTCAGGTGCCTATCGCCCCCCCAGTCATTGTGTAGGAGCCTAGTGGTAGGTGTCTAAATCAAGCTTTGTGGATAAAGTGTGTTCATGTGATTTTCTAGGTGCCTAAAATCTAGGTGTGGTGATGCTGAGTATTGCACTGCCTGGTCCACACAAACATTTGGCTGCCAGCAAGCCGGGGCCTGAGTCTATCCTGCACTAGCCTGCTGCTGTCTAATGGACTCTGTTGATTCACACTAACAGTTTGTTAATGTGCTTTGATCTACTCCTCTAGGAAACAAGACTGTTCACCTGCGCCAGCAAGATCTAGGTGGACAGTTTAGCCTGGTCTACACTGAGAAGTTAGACTGGTTATAACTACATCACTTAGGGATGTGAAAAACAGACCTAACCCCCAGTGTAGATCGCGCCAAGTCAACGGAAGAATTCTCTTGGAGAGGTGAATTCCTGACACTGATAGGAGAGCCTGTCCCATCAGCGTAGGTAGTATCAACAATGATGCATTGCAGCATTTTTAGTGTAGACAAGCCCTTCATCCCCCATGGCTGGCTAATGCAGTGTAGACAAACTCTCCAGCTTGCTGCATGCTAACTGCTCATGTAGATAAGTCCTAAGTTCCATTGCGGAGCTAGGCCTGTGTGCCTCAGTTCCCTCATCCATAAAATAGGGATGTGAGTGGTTAACCAGTTACCTGGTAAGCCTCACTCTTAACGGGTGACTCTTGTCGGTGCTGGTTAACTGGTAGGGGTTGGAGTAGCTCCCTGCTTGCCAAGGGCAGAGGGCTGCTTTATCCCCACTGGGCTCACTTCAGGCAGGGGCTGCTGTGGCTGGCCAGCTGGAGCAGCTCTTGTCTGTGGTGGGGGTGTGGTGTGATCTCCCACCCACTCCTCCTTTAATCAGTTAATTATTTAATCCATAATGTTTAACCGGTTAACCAATTAAACAGGATTTTACATCCCTACCACAACATAGGGATAATAGTCACATTTCTCAGAGCTTTTGTGCCAAGTAGTTAGCTAATGTCTATAAAGTGTTCTCCTACCCACAGCAAAACCTGTACAAGAGACCACCCTACTGGGCCACTGAAGAGAATTACTGGGAAGCAACTGTTATACCACCGATTGTTGTCCTTCCCTTGAGTGGTCTTTTAAGATGACTGTATCCATCTGAAAAAACGTAAAAAACAACAAATAGTCCTGTAGCGCCTTAGAGACTAACAAAACATGCAGATGGTATCGGGGGTATGCTCTGTGCTAGGGCGCCGCCCGCTGGCTGCTCTGGGGATTAGTTCCATTGGGGATTAGTTCCATCTGGGAACAATGGCTCTGCCTGTCACTCACTCCTCCACCCAGCTGCTACTCTCTGCCATTCAGGGTGCTCTTTTCATTGTTTGGCCCTCTGGCCAGGTCACTATAGTGCTCCCCTTCCAGGGTAGAAAATCCTATCTGGCAACAATTCTAGGCCGTCTTCTGTTCCACTGCCCCGTTAGTGCCACTTCCCCAGTGGCTGGTGGGGAACGCAGACCCACCCTCTAGTCTGGGTTTCAGTTCTGCTTTCTGTAAGACCCTGTTGCTCTTTCCCCAGACTCCTTCCTCTGTCTTCTGGCTCCCCCCACCCTGGGCTTACCAGCCCAAACTCCCTGATTACTTAACTCCATAGCCCAAATCTAGGGTTGCTAGATGTCCGGTATTGAACCGAACAGTCTGGTATTTTCACCTCCTGTCCCATCAAAAAATTCAGAAAATACCAGACACCTAAAAAGTCCGGTACTTTCTGATTTTTTTTTTTTCCCAGCTAGGAGGTGAAAATTCTGGGCTGTCTGGCTCAATACGGAAACAGCCTGGCAACCCTAGGCTATGTCTAAACTACACCTCTCTGTCAGCAGAGGGATGCAAATTAGACATATCGAAAGTGCAAATGAAGCTGGGATTTAAATATCCTGTGCTTCATTTGCATAATGGCGGCCGCTGCTTTTTTTTCAAAATGGGGCTTTTCGAAAAAAACCGCAGTTTCGACGGGGTATTTTTGACAGAAATGCCCCATTTCAAAAGATCCTGTATTCCAAACAGCCCTGTCGAAACTGCGGTTTTTTTCGAAAAGCCCCATTTTGAAAAAAAAGCAGCGGCCGCCATTATGCAAATGAAGCACAGGATATTTAAATCCCAGCTTCATTTGCACTTTCGATATGTCTAATTTGCATCCCTCTGCTGACAGAGAGGTGTAGTTTAGACATAGCCTAGGGTTGCCAGGCTGTTTCCGTATTGAGCCAGACAGCCCAGAATTTTCACCTCCCAGCACAGGGAGGCAAGATGGCGGGTGTCCATCGATACATCTAATTTACATCCCTCTGCTGACAGGTTCCGCAGGGGAGCTGCCTGACCCAGCACAGGGAGGCAAGATGGCGGGTGTCCACTGGTAGCCTGTTAGGGCCAAAAAGCCTCTCTACGCAGTTTTTAAAGGGGCCACAGGTTTTTGTTTGTTTGTTTTTTTTTTTTGCTTAATAACTCTCGGAGTCCTTTTATTTATTTTTTTTCTTCAACAAACTTTTTTCTGGCGTGTTTTTTTTTTTTTTTTTCAGTATTTTTTCTGAAACCATCCGGCAACCCTACCCAAATCATACCGCCTTACTCTCAGGGAGTTACCACAGCCTCTTTCTGCTACCAACTTCCTGCCTTTATTCCAGCCCCACCCATCCCTACTCCGCTGGGTACAAGTCTTCAACCAGCCTTTCAAACCTGGGCTCTCACCTTGGTGCAGTCTATCAGGTTAATTAACCTAATTTAACCTGCTTAGCCTTGGCGGCGGGGAGAGGGGGACACCTCATCACAGAGCCATATAGGAAATGTGATTTTCCATTGTCAATCATATTGGATGTAGATAGACTTCTCATCTCAAACTGATCTGGAATGGTACCATCACTGTGTGCAGATGTGTAATCTATTGCTTAGCAGAGAGGTCCAGGAGCCAGGACTCTTGGGTTCTGCTATTGTTCCTGATTCTGCTGTTGACTTTCTTCTGTGAGCTTTGGCAAGTCATTTAACCTCTGTATATGAAAAGTGACACGAAAGCACTAACTCCATAGCAATGTTCCCTCTGATTTTTCCATCTGTGTGGAATAATTTTTGTTCTGTGCACCAAGGTATGTGCAGATGTGCACCACCAGTATAAATGCATGCTGCCAGCTGTGGGTGCTCTGCTAATCATCATGGCAGTGCCTGATTCTCTGCTGGGTGGCCCTCCAAGCGCTCCGCTTACAGGCAACACTGCTCCATAGGGGTGTTGTCATGCTTAAAGAGTAAAGGGTTTGAAAAAGAATTAGACAAGTTCCTGGAGGACAAGTGTATTAATGGCTACTAGCCAGGATGGTCAAGGATGCAACCCCATGCTTCTGATTGCCGGAAGCTGGGCATAATAATGGGATAGACCACTTGATTATTGCCCCATTGTGTTCATTTCCTCCAGGGGCACTTGGCATTGGCTACTTTTGGAAGACAGGATACTGGGCTAGATTAGACCATTGGTCTGACTCTGTATGTCTGTTCTTATGTGTATGGTGTTAATTGATATTTGCGAAGTTGCCTGATACAGTGGAGTTAACCAAAAAGGGTGCCTATCCCATAGAGCTCTTTGGAGACCAGAGCTGTCACCACCTCAGTCCAGCGCTACACTTACTGTGGGGCAGATGAGGAAACCTGAACCCCTCCGCCCCATCAGTGTTAACTTTTGGTCTTGCTTGATGCTTCATCCTGCAAGATTCTGGCCCCGTGCATGGAACATTGTGATGCAGGAGTAGGCTGTAGACATGGTGATAGGACAGTGGAGTGGTATCTCGTGCACTCAAGCCCACAATGGGACCTCCTCGGCTCATCTCTTATAGATACTGTATTATCTCCTTTAAAGACCAGTTGTGCTATTGAAATCAAAGCCCAGACTCCCTTTGATTTTGGTAGGAGCAGAAGCAGGTCAATAAAGCTATGCTGATTTACAACAGCGTATAAAAGATCCCTCCCCCACCCCCCAACACACACCCCAGGCCCTATCTTGCAACACTTACTCCCAGGAGTAACCCCACTGAATTAATGAGCTAGTTGTAGCATATTACACCAGGCACGGTGGGACTAACCTATGAATAAGGCCAGGTTTGCATTTTTGTGCCTGTTGCAAGGAAACGCTTAAATGCCCATTTTTATTTTTGCAGGTCTGGGGGTCAGCCCTGGAAACTGGGGCTGTGCGAATTACCGGGGTTACTGCCGTGCTGCCTGCTTTCCCCAGGAGAATTCACTGGGCCCCAAGGACTGTGCTGAAGGGTTTGTGTACGTCCCCCGAAACAGCTCTTGCCTTTGTACCCTTCTTCCGACCCTTCCACAAAAACGGAGAGGCTAGGGCCCTGCCGAGTGCCTAATGCTGCATCTGATTGCGATCAAATGGAGCAGACTGTTGCGAAGGTCAACTTTAACATGGGGCAGCGTGAGTCCCAGTATGTGTGTTAGGGTCGCCACCTCTCTAATTGCTGGTAACCACATGCCCAAGGCCCTGTCATGGCTTCCCTTGAGGCCCAGCCCCTTCTGCCATTTTCCCCCAGGCCACGCCCCTTGTCCACCTCTTCTCTCAAGGGCCCATTCCCCTTGCTTGCTCTTCTTCTCCCTTGCTGGATGGTCTTCATTTCCCTCTTCCCTCCCAGCGGGCTCCCTCTACTACGAGGCTGGGGCAGTAGCCTGATAAGGAGCCTGCCTGTAAGAAGGAGGTGGCCTTGACTGAGCAGGGGCTGGCATGGGTTAATAACCCAGTGCCTCCCCTCATCAGTGGTAACAAGACATTTGGTGGCCAGTCAATATTTGACAGGACACTGCAAGTCCCCTTTTTCGACTGGACTTTCCGATGAAAAACCGGGCACGTGGCAATCCCAAATGACACCTGCAATGAGGAGTAACGGTAGTTCGAATTAGGAGCTTTAATTCGAACTACCTAGTCCATACAGCGTGTAGCCGTGGGCACGGAGTTCGAACTATGGGGCATTTAAAAATGGTGGTGCCCGGGACTGTGCAAATAAAGCCTGGGATATTTAAATCCCGGGCTTCATTTGCAAGTTTGAATGCCTACATTAGCCACCCTAGTTTGAACTAGACTGGCAGTGAAGACATACCCATATAGTGGAGAGTATGTTTTATAAAATTTGAAGATGATACAAAGTAGGGAGGGGTTGCAAACACTTTGGAGGACAGATTAGAATCCAAAATGACCTTACGGCACTAGAGAATTGGTTGGAAATCAACAAGATGAAATTCAGTAAAGACAAGTGCAAAGTACCTCACTCAGGGAGGAAAAAGCAAATGCATGGTTACAAAATGGCAAATAACTGGCTGGACAGGAGAACTGCTGAAAAGGATCTGGGGATTAGAGTAGATCCCACAGTTATAGTGGATAACAAATAGAATGAGCCAGCTAGGTGATGCATCTATGGAAAAGCCTAATATCCTTCTAGAGTGTATTAACAGGAGTGCCCTAAGTAGGACAAAGGAGGGACCTGTCCCACTCTTCTCAACCCTGGTGAGGCCTTAGAGCAAGTGCTGTGTCTTGTTTTGGGCACCACGCTTTAGGAAAGATATGGACTAGCTGGAGAGCATCTGGACACGAGCAACAAAAACGAGAAGAGATTTAGAAAACCTGACCTATGAAGAGAAGTTAAAAAATATTGGGCATGTTTAGGGTTGAGAAAAAGACTAAGGGCAGGGGTGCTTCAGATATGTTAAGGGCTGTTATAAGAGGACTTTGATCAGATGTTCTCCAGATCCATTAAAAGTAGGATACAAAATAATGGACCTAAATCTTCAGCAAGGGAGATGTAAGTTAGATCTGAGGAAAGGCTAACTGTAAGAGTATTTAGCCCAAGTCTGGGCAAAATTTGCCCCACGGGCCAAATCTGGCTCACCGAGCCACCAAATCTGGCCCATGGAGGCAGTGAGGAGCCCCTGGCAGGCTCCCCTGCTTGCCTCGCAGTCCCACACACTGCTCAGAAACGTGGCTGCAGGGAGCTTTCTCTTTATGAGTCTGGAAGGGAGTGGGGAAGATTTAGATGCTGCGCCTGCCCCCAGCACAATCCCATTGGCCAGTTTCTGGCCAGAAACTGACCAGTGTGGGCTGCCTGTTTGAATTACAAGCAGCCACGAAGCAAAAACTCTCTCCCCTCCTTCTCAGTTACTCATTCAAGCACAGGGCCAAGCAGGCAGAAACATTTTAAGGTCTGCAAGCTGTTAGCTCTGCAGGCAGGCATGCTGGTTTGGCTGTGGGCTGGTAAGTCTCCTGGCCAGAACCTGCCTCTGGCATCCCAAACCCTCCCTTCCCCAATCCTATGCACCCCACATGAACTCATGTCCCCTCCCAGATTTGCCACCCTAATCTCCTGCCCGAGAACACAATCCCCTCTTACTCTAGGTCACATCCCAAAACTCTGCACCCCAGTCTCCTGCCCCAGGTCACAACTGCCTCCTTTACCTAAACTCCCTCCCAGACTCCATTCTCCCTCCTGCATCCCAATCCCTTACCCCAAACTCCCTTATACACCCAACCCCCATCCCAGACTCTGCACCCCCTCCATTAATACCATGGAAGAGTGTGGTCCTTGAGTGGCTCCCCATTAAAAATTATTGCCCATTACTGATTTAACCTATGGATCAAGCATCACAGGGAGGTTGTGGAATTCCTGCCAATAGAGGTTTATTTGGAAACAAGTTAAATAAACACCTCCCAGGGATGGCTTAGATTTACTAGATCCTGCTACAGCACATGGGGCGGGATTAGATGAGCTCCTCGTATCCCTTCTAGCTCTAAATATCTATGGGTACTTCTTCACAGCAGTGCAAAACTTGAATTAAGCTACGCAACTTCAGCTTTGTCAATTGCGTAGCTTAAGTCGAAATAGCTTAATTTGGCTTTTGGCGCTGTCTACACAGCAGGAAGTCGAAGGAAGAGCACTCTTCCTTAGACTTCCCTTACTCCTCGTGAAATGAGGGTTTTGGGAGTCAGAGTAAGAAGTCCTCCAGCCCACCATTATTTCAAAATAAAGGCTTGTAGATGCGTACTATGTTATTTCAGAATAAAGCCAGTTATTCTAAAATAACGCTGCTGTGTAGACATAGTCGATGATTCTATGATCAGCATTTCATTTTGCTGTATCATCTAAAAGATTTAAGGGGGAATTTGTATCAAATCATTTCCTTTTCATTTGGTTGCACATTGTCATTTTTATTGCTTTTTTCCCCTCCTCTCAGCTGCTGTGTGTCGAGTGCTTTTGGATAAGAACGGCTTTACCCCAGGAGTCAACGGTACCTGCGATGAAGCTCCCCAGCAACAGAAGAACACCAGATGTCAGTGTCTAGAATGATCAACCTTTGCTGTTTCATTGAAATCAATAATGTGTCAATAATTGTAGTTTCATCCTTCCCACTGAAATCAATGGGAAAATCCCTACTGAATTCAATGGAAGAAGGATGGGGTTGTTTCCTCTGCCTTTTGTAATTGCATTTATCCAGTGTAGCAGCCTAACAACCAGATCTGGCTTAATGAATCCTGTCAGATTCCTTACTCTCACCCTGACTCTAGAGGGTGCACACCTGTTCTCTCCTTTCACCCGCACACCCCCAATCTATCCCTCCACCCTTTTCTCTGCCATATAGACACACAGGCTGCGTCTAGACTGGCATGATTTTGCGGAAATACTTTTGCGCAAAAGCATCTGTGGCCAGTCTAGACGCGATTTTGCACAAGAAAGCCCCGATCAGGGTGACAGGCCCTGTTTCTTTTGGTGGTTAATCCACTGCAATGTTTGGTATTTCAATGGATCATTGAAGACCCTGCAACAGAGAATGATTTCTGGAAAAAAATGTTTATGATTGTACTTTAGATTTCTAACAGATTTTTGTCAGGGTGGGCTGAGAACTCATCTGTTGTGGTGATGGGTGCCCTGGAAAATAACTATATTAGACAGAAAAAAGTCTCTGCAAGGGATAAACTAAAAAAATTCACAAATATGTGATTTCAGGACATAATGCAAGAAAATGTCACCTTGTCTGACAGTGCACAGCATAGAAATGGTTGTAATGTGAGTGCAATGTCACAGACTCACAGTGACTGGCTGACTATATGGCATGATAATGGGATCCAGTCTTTTACCAGTTCAAAGCCAATTCCCGGTCAGTATAACTATCTTTACAGCTTATTTTGGGAAAGTATCCCAGATCTCAAATGGTGCCCAAACTTCCCCCCTTCTCTGCAATATCAGACAAGGTGGGCAAGTTAATAGATTTTATTGGATCAAATTCAGAAAACTTGTCTTCCTCATCAACAAGTGACACTTGTTACCTCGCTCATCTTGTCCCCCTAATATCCTGGCACTGAGACAGCTACAACTACATTGCAGACAAGGTTTGGATAGACATGGAGCCTGAACTTGCTCCTGGAAGTGGCCTTTCTGAATCCCCTTCTTAGAAGTGTCTGCTCCAGCTCAGGGGTAAGGAATATTTGAAGAGCAAACCCACACTGCTGCTGCCCATATAGCAGCAGATACCACAGTGTGCTAGGCACTATATAAAAACCTGAATAGAATAGATGAATTCCATGGATTAACAGAATTCTTCAGGCTCCAGGAACTCATTTCCCTACCACTGCATACAAGTAACTCCCAGCGAAGTCAAAACTTGCTCCAGTGGAGTAAGAAGTGGGCTCCAACATGGTAAATTTATAGGTCCTTCATCAGCACTGCATTTTCTTAGAGAAGATACGTCTGTTAGCTTGTCTTGTCCATCTCTCTGGCTGATACAGAATTGTTCTCCACAGTAAAGAATACACTTGTGCACAGACTAAATGACTGACACTGTTTTATTGGACTAACTGGAAGGCAAAAAGAAATCAAATGTGTGATTCTTGACAACTGCTGATTAATTATTTCTAGTTGGACCAGAACTGGTTATTATTGGCTACTAAAATGGGGTGGGGAGAGGGAGCTATTTTTTTTGACAATGTAATCAGTTGTACTCCTTACAGAGCAGTAAAAACCTTGCTTGAGAATGTCTCTAGACTAGAGTGTTTCTAGTGCGTACAGGTTAAACATATCTGAAATAACCCCTCCGTTCTCTGCTTTGATTAATTGAATTGCATTGTATTGTTTAGGATGATTAAAGGTGGTTTAACTGGAAGCTGGTACCATATAACACTGACGTTTTTATGTAAGAGCAGTTCACTGAGCTCAGAGTTTGCTGGAGACGTAACGCCTTTAATTAAAATGCAATTTAGAGTTAATCATGTGTTAAAAACTGTTCAATCCAAGACTGTCTTTGTTATGGACATACTGGCGACATGATGCTGTGTATATACTAGGCTGTAATGGACCAAAGTATGTGTCAGAATCCAGGCCCATACACAGGAATTGCTGTGGGGGCTGGAGAGATACTACTTTGTAAATGTGGACAGCAATTTGGACCATGAGCTGTGGTGGCTGCCAAGATGGCCCAGTCTCACCCCCAGTTTTGCCCTTGGGAGGAGGGATCAGCCCCAGCCTTCCCCTGGCTAGCCAGAATTAAGACCATGTGGGGGAGGGGGAGGATATTCATACCCATTGCCCTCCTTCCCCCCGACACATATGGGCCTGAGATTGATTGATAAATTAGATACAATTAGATAGGATGTATGGGGATAGATAGATACATGAGGGCTGTGTCTAGACTGCATCCCTTTTCTGTAAAAGGGATGCAAATTAGACACATCGCAATTGCAAATGAAGCGGGGATTTAAATCCCCCCCGCTTCATTTGCATGAACATGGCTGCCGCTTTTTTCTGGCTCGGAGCTTTGCCGGAAAAAAGCGCCAGTCTAGACGGGGATCTTTCGGAAAATAAAGCCTTTTCCAAAAGATCCCTTATTCCTTATTATAAGAGGAATAAGGGATCTTTAAGAAAAGGCTTTATTTTCCGAAAGATCCCCGTCTAGACTGGCGCTTTTTTCCGGCAAAGCTCCGAGCCAGAAAAAAGCGGCAGGCATGTTCATGCAAATGCCACGGGGGATATTTAAATCCCCCGCGAAAAAAGCGGCAGCCATGTTCATGCAAATGAAGCGGGGGGGATTTAAATCCCCGCTTCATTTGCAATTGCGATGTATCTAATTTGCATCCCTTTTACGGAAAAGGGATGCAGTCTAGACACAGCCGAGGTGTATGGGGATAGATAAGTAGATTGATTGATTTGGGGTCTTTTTTGTGCCTTTGCTTTCTGAGCCTTTTGGGTCACACTCAGGTCATGTTTTCAGACTTTTCTCTGCAAACCTGAAGACCTGAAACACTTTTTAAATGAAAGTCAAGGGTGCTTCTGCACTCCAGAGCCTATGTTGACATAGCTGTGCCCACTAGCTTAGATGCAGCCCACATGAACAGAAGTTTTTCTGTTGGCATAACAACACTACCACCCCAAACAGAGCCCTCTTAGACTCACATCTTGTGAAGTCATGCCCAGTAGTTAGCACAGTGGCCGTTAGAGACCAGCATTCAGAGCTGGGGTCAGGAGTCCAAGAGCAGCCAAAAAGCAGGTTTTCATAGACTCAGACTTTCAGGGGAGAAGGCACCATCATGATTATCTGGTTTGACCTCCTGCACGTTTAGGCCAAAGAATTTCATCCACCCACGCCTGGCTACATTGCAGACCACAATCTGTGGCTAGATAGGCGACGGGTGACAACCTGGCTTGGGGAAGCCCCACCCTTTCTGTGTCCACCAGAGCCCCACCCCCAACATAGCCGCTGACCCCATCCTGTGCCCCAGTCCCATCATTTATGGTGCAACCCTCCACAACGAAGGGATGTGGCCCTAAGGGGCACAGAAAAGGAGAAAATCTCTTTTTGGGTTGATACTAAAGTTAGAGCTGAGAGGCAAGAATAAGGGGAATGAAGGTCCAGGACTGGCAATCAGAAAACTTGCCATTTTCCTGGCTTTGTGACCATGAGCAAGTCCCTCCAGCTCTGGATGCCTCTGTTCCCTACCTATAAAAAGAGACCCAATCTGGGGTCTATCAAGGCTGTTCCCACTCTGGCACTCATTTACTGTTCCCATTTTACAGAGAGGGATGCCTTTTTGGTGTGTGCTTCAGTCAAAACTTAGCTACTGTGATATGCAGGAGGGCTGGGATATGCAGGGGACAGATTCAATGCTCTAATGGTCCTGTCTGGCCTTTACATCTAGTAACTAATGTCAAACTCAGTGTGGCCTAGAGAGCAGCCTCTGGGGTTTACTGTCCAGCCAGTTTGGTTCCCAGCCTCAGCTGTCATTAAGTGGGATGATCAAACATCCCCGGAGGCTGGTCAGGGTCAGGACATCAGCCTTGCAGGGGAGGGGTGGGTGTAGAAGTGAGGGTCACAAAGGCTGGTGGCAGGACCTCTGCTGATAGAGGG